AGTGTCTGGTTTCCCAACAGACGACTTCCACATAATCATTTTAATATATGTTGATGATTATTGCATGAGTCAATTATTATTTTAGGGCTGATAAAAAGTGATCTTTTTCTTTTTGTTAATAACACTGATTCATAGATTTTCAAATTTAAATTTTTAAATTTTTTTTTTTTTTGGTACTAGGGAGCAAATTCAGGAACTTTTTCTTGCAAGGCAGGCAGCAGCACCACTGAGCTAAATACCTGGTGCAAATTTCATTTTGACATAGCCCCCTTTAAATTTTTATTTAGCTAATTCACTAAATTACCCAGGCTGGGTTCAGTATTTCAGGCCTCATGCCTCAGCCTCCTAGAGGACTAGGCTTACAACTGTTCACCACCACATCGGGCTCGGCGTGCATCATCTTCATCATCTTCATCATCATCATCATCATCATCATCATCATCATTATCATTTTTTTTTGAGACAGGGTCTCACTGTGTAGTTCAGACTGAACTTGAACTCACTATGTAGCCCAGCCTGGCCTCAAACTCATGGCGATCCTCCTGCCTCTGCCTACCAAGTGCTGGGATGACAAGTGTGTGCCAAATTTTTGGATGAATCAGTGAATTAGAATCCAACTCTCTAGTTATTTATTTTGGTGCCCAAAGTGACCAAAATTTGACCAGTGTGAGCCCCTTCAAGCTGTAGCCTGTGTGCCCACTGATTTTCAGCACTTTCTTACTTTTTGATAGAGGAACATGTTTCAAACACACCTCATCTTTCCCTGCCCCAGACATAGAATGAACCAATTCTCCATAGAGTGCTTGTTGCTTTTACTTTTCTGATCACTCATTCCAGAAAAAATCATCTACTGCATTTAGGAGTGATGGCTGGGAGACCAGGAGAAAAACTTAATGGACATCAGCCTTAAGACTCTCTGACTAAGCAGGGTGTGGTAGTGCATACATGGAAGCCCAGTATTGGAAAGCTGAGTCAGGAGGCTCTAGAGGCTGTGCCCAACCCGGGCAATATAGCAAGAGCCCCTCTTAAAATAAAAACAAAGCCAAGTACAACAGGAGGACAGATGGAAGGGCTGGAGATGCCAGCAGTGGTAGCACCCCAGATGGCCGTGTGCGGGAGGCAGAACTCAGTGCAGGCCCAGAGGGAGGGCTTGAGGCCCTGCTTCCCACTGGCCATTCTCAAGTCAGGGCAGAGCCCAGGAGGGAGACCAAGGCAGCCCACTCCGGGAATCACAGGACTCCCTGCAGGTGGCTTTGGCTCAGGACCCCCTAGAAGCTCTGCTCAACCCCTCAAGAGCACCCAGAAGCCTATGACCTTGCACCTAACCTGCCTCCCCTCCCTCATTTGACATCTCCCTTACTTCACAGTCTGGAAGCTGTGTCAGTCTCTCCCGTTCCTGGTGTCATTTCCTCCCACAGGGTTTTACACAGTAAATTGTGTGTACATTGGATCCTGTCAGGCATCAACTTCTAGGAGGATCTGGGCAAACATGGAAATCAGGGGCAGAAGCAGGGATACCAGTGACAGGGGCAAACACAATAGCCCCGGGAGAGGTGTCAGGAGCG